AAGATTTTGTGAAAAATTTTTGACATTTCTTAACATGATTTTTATAACAATTAGTTTCAAACTTACATGTATTTATTTGTAAAATATAATGTAGATACGTTAACAAATAAGAAAAAATAATGATAATTTAATTCTTTCTACTCGTTTTAGATATTAGCAAATTTAAATAAAATAGCAAATATTCAAACGGCACAATTGCGTTAGTTTTGAACTTCAACTACTAAAATTTTACTTTCATGTGTGGAGCACAAAGCTAGCGACAGACTGCAGCAGCGCGACAGTGAACTGAAAATGGCGTTGTGAATCCTACTACAACGTTTGTGAGAGGGCAGCAACATAACAATAGCCGGCATGAACACAATTTCGTTGTGGCCATTCTAATCAATGAAATTTTAATATTTTGTTCAAAGAGAAATTTTTAAGCAACAAATAAGTAAATAGGTAAATTTATTTGTTTTAAATTATGAATTGTTATTATAAATGATGTCACAGAGCTATTTTATGCTTTTATTTGTAAAATAACGTCAAGTTTGTTAGAGCTTTGAGTAATTTTACATTTTACATATTAGTGGCATCACCACTATTCCTCATCTCTCTATCTTCCATTCTACTGTCAATTCTACTGTGTTGTTGTTGTAAAGGCAGAATTCTGCCAAGTTGACAGTCCTTGGCCGGATAAAAATCCGGGTCCGTTCCGGTTTTCGTAGACCTGACTGTCGTGGGAACGGCAACTCTACTGTCGTTGGCAAATATAGGATCAAATTGAAGTTAGCGAGAAAGTCAACTGTCGGCCTGCAGGCGTGTAGTCGTGCAGCTGACAAAATAGGTCCGTCCATAAGAACGTGTGTATTTTAATATTTGACAGATTCGTTTGCAGTCTGTCGCGAGCATTGTATTCCACACATCAGTATAGCAAAATATACTATTTGTTTACATTGTAAAAAATTTTTTCGAAGCAACTCAACGTAGGAAAAATGTGATGTTACAGTTTGGCACCCAATCTTTGTCCGATAAACTTTTCTCCAAAGTTTAGCCGATAAAAATTCGAACTCTAGAATGTACATATTAATAGAAACAAGTTTAACTAAACCATGATACAATAGATCTATTTTTATAATTTGTTTTAAAATTGTAGGTAAGGGAACAGATATAAATTGAAACGATTTACTATTGTGAATATTAGAACTCTCTCAGCTGAGGAAAGCTATTGTTGTTGTCGTGTGATTTGGTATTTGCTTTTTAAGTTTAGTTAAACATAATTTATTTATTAGTTTGTTGTAACAGTAAGGAAGATGCCTGAATATCAAAGTTGGAAGTTTCCTGACATTCCCACAGATTTGGTGTAAGTAAATATTTTTTATTATCATTTTTTACATCAAATGTAAAAAGTATTTCCAGCGAAGACCTTTTCCAAAACGATGAAAAATTAGTTGTGGTTGGTGTAATAGGAAAGTCGGCATTTTCGGACTGTAATAAAATGGTATCGCTAGGCATTTTGGACAGTGATCCTAGTATGTTGGATCATGAACCGAAAGAGGTAAACTGCAACCACAATTGTATAAATGTATACACTTAATCGATTTGTTGTATTAAGGGCACCATCCAATTCTACTATAATCGTAAGAAGTCAATACTCTTTTTACACTTTGAAACAACATTTGACACAGCATGTATGCAGGGAATGCTCGAAGTTGGTATAACTGGTAATACTTATGGTCATTTTTTGTTATTTAATCAGCGCGTGCGTAACCGTTTTGGACGGATGTTGCTTTTTGCAACACAGGTTTGTCACTTAATAGTCTTTGTTGAGTTAAGTGTCACTTTCGATGCGTCGTTGTTGTCACTTTTCAGAGCTTTAAAAATTATAAGGTAGGAAATTACCAATATTGGATATATTTTCTGCCTAAATTGAATCATTTAAAAATAGGGACAAATACGTGTTAAAATTCTTACCAAAACTCGTTAAAAATTCGAGCACTGGTACATTTTTGGGCAAATCTGCGCGCCTGTGTACACCACGTATACTATTTATCTTTGAAAACTATCCGGATGGTTATGGTAAATTGAGGAAATAATGGAAAAATTAACGCGAAAAGTAATTTTATCTTATTTTATAGAAAAATCATCTGAATGCATTTCTAAATTAGAATTTGAAGTGGAGGATAGTATTTACAAGATGCTGCGTAATGAATTTATCATTACTAACAACAGGTTTATGTTTTTGACGTAATATAATTACAAATTTTGTTATAAAGTTTTTAACCTGCAGCGCGATGTCACTTTTTTCTATCCCGAGCAATAAGCGGTTTGTATATTATAACACCGATTCATTGATACGCAAAGATCCCTTGATAAAATCAATATCACTCCTACAAACCTTCTTACAAAAATGTAATTTTAAAGAAGACGAAGATGATCTTGAAGATTTGAGACCATTCAAGGTGAGAAAAAGTTAATTATGTAATTATTTGTAACTAAACATATTTTACTGATAGGGATTTGGAAAACCATTACTACAATGTAATACAGAACATAAGCAACATATGGCCAACGAAACCCATCGCCAAAAACGTAATTTTATGGATTTGCTAATGGATCATGTTGATGAGGCACTTGAAATGGGTTTTGATGATAGCTCAACTAAATTTAAAGGCAAAAATCACTTTATGGTACGCATAAATGGACTATACTTCTTGGAAAGGAAGTTAAATTTGTTTTTATAGATACTCTCAACTAAAGAATGGTACGATACTTTCAAAATGTTGCATAAAATTTTCATCGAAAATCCAGATAATCCGAAATTCGAGGCCAATGATTTAGATTATGTAATTAAAAACTTTTCTACCCATTCAATGGAGGATAATTGATAACGGTTATTTGTATTTGTATTTCAGAAATCATATTTAGAAAATTTCAATAAAATAATGGACATAGATGACGAGTAAGTATCAAAATTTAAAAAATCTTTGAATCAAAAACGCAATATTTTAAAATTTTTCAGATTTTTTAACGCTTGTTGTGATATTGGTTTACAAAAAGCGTTAGCTATGTACAACAATCCAGCATTGACACATTACAGCAATGCAGTACATAAAAAATTGGTAAGTTATTATCATACCTATCACGCAATCCATCGTAGAAAAGCTACGAATACGAATTTCCGCTATGAATACGCATAATTTGCTTTCACTAACTCCATGTGAATTCGAATCTTTTGTTATCAGGTATAAGAATTTCGAAATAAGCAGGATAGAACAAAAAATTTAAATCTCTGAAATTGTTTATATTCAAATTGAATTTACGAACAAAATATGGATCCGTTAACAGCCACTCTACGAATTTTGAACTTATGTTCGGAATGGTTCGAATTGTATGAAAGCAATTTTGTATCTTTCCAAAAAAAAAACAGTATACAATGTATTGCGTGATAGGGCTACATATTTCAACCTTATATGTTTCAATATATTTATTACAGTGGACTTTGTAATTTATTAAGGTTGACGAAGCTGTTACTTTATATATGAAGTATGCTCGAGGTACTCGAACTGCTGTAAACGAAAATAAACTTCGCGAAATGTGTGAACGATGTTGGCGAAATGGTAAACAACAATGTGAAGTTAACAGTTTACGCGGTAACCCTTGCATACTACCCAAACACATTGTTAAGGAACTTTCAGAGCACAGTAGTGCACATGTATTCATCTCTACCTGTAATTGTGGTAGAACGCAAGGCAGACGTGAAGATCCCTATACCATTAGACACGCTAATTATGAATTCTATCAATACATGGCAAATAATTGTAATTTATGTGCTAAAGTGAAACAAGTGCATTTTCCTGTTTTTGAGCCTTCTATTAATGATTACAGGTTAGTAATAAGTTTAAAGTAATATATATTTTTTCTAAAAGTTTTGAGTTAATGTTTGAATATGTATATTAATTTAATTCATACAGGGCTGCAGAATTCGAAATTGCCTTCCCCAAACTATCGATACAAGACTCAATCAATTTAGATCAGGATCATAATTTACCCTCTCCTAAATCCGTTGCCTCAGATGAGTGTTCTCAGCCACTTACTGCATCGCAAGGCACACATACCAATCTCAGTTTAGTTTCCACAGATGAACTGAATAAAATTGATGTTGATGCTGATATACCAAGTTCAGATGAGTCTCTAAATGAATTAATAATACAAGTAAAGGATAAAAATACACAAAAAGCTGAGGATAAGGAACGCAGTATTTACAGGCAACCATCTACAACAGAATATTTACCTGGTATGGTTCATACTCAGACTCCTCCAGGTTTGCTTCCGCGTTTTCCTAGCTGGTCGCTAGTTTGTGTAGGTCCCAGTTCCGTTTACAGTCACAACACAGGATTATTGGAGCACTTTCAAAGTGGATTTCTTTCGGGTGCTAATTTTTTGCTTCCTTGGGATGTGCATGTGCGCCTGGAGCATTCAGCTTCTTGGGCATATGAAAAAACCCGTATTCGAAAAATGGGTGAAGTGCACATTTTGAAGATATTTGTTGGATGTGAGTATGAGTGCCCCCGTGGGCATAGATTTATGATGAGTTCGGCGGACAAGATTTTGCGAGGTGGTTCAGGTAAGGAAAGACGAATCATTCATAAAGTTTTTATCTTATGTTCTTTTTATTATAGGCATTTTACGGGATAGTGGAAGCAAAGTCGTCTATAATAATATGCCCTTATATTTTCCATGTCCTTGTCGATCACATAAAGCAGATGTGGCACAATTAATGCGTGTTCACGTGGTAACACCAAAGGCACCTGTGAATGTAATTCTAGATCCGAAGGTATTTTTATATTAATAGTATATCGTAATTTTAATTAGTACGGTTTTTAACGTTATTAGGTGCGAACTGGCGAGCGAGATTATGTATTCACTATGGGGATGCCAAATCCACCAAGGTTAACTCAAAGCGCCTATTGGATTCTACGTCTTCCATACACATATCAAGGAGACGAAGGACCAATAACTCCTCCAAATGAAATAACAACTATTAACGCTCTTAGTTACGGATGCCTGTTGGCCGGTATGTTTGGAGTCAGTGAAACTGAATTAGATGACTGAGATGCAAATACATACATTTTTTATTTAAATTTAAACAACTATTTGTATTATGCAAGGAAAGATATTTTATAAAATACATGATAAATACAATGTTAGATTTAAATTGTTAATGCCTCAAAATTATTGAGCTAATCCAGCACGTAGTTACAAAAATTGAAATTCATCTTGAACTACAAATTTTTAGTTTTTCAGGTGAGTATTACCTTAATTCATCGCAGACATCTAGTTGTGATATTTCCATTATTTAAATGTTTTCTGGTATTGATTCCTCGCAACGGTTTTTGTTCTTCAGAAGATATGCCGCCAAAAAACTTATGGGATCTGCAGGTCGTTCTCGCGCTAACGTCTGTAGTCCGTGTAATAATATCGGCGCTACTGTCTGATCTAAATACTGGCGAGTGGGTAGTGAACTCAGATCGGGACGGGGTCTTTTGCATTGAGGTTGCGCGGCTGACTGTAGATTGGTTGCTGCGGATTGAGCATCACCTTGAGTCTGCTGATCTGGAGCAGGTTGTGGGGTAGTTGATCTGTCATTTTTTTCCATAACTATAATTGCTGAAATTATTATTTTCTAAGTTTTTAATCGATCAACAAATATTGCAGTTTATTAGAAACGAATGTAATTTTCCAGACTATATTTATTAGTTTTGATGTAAGATAAATTGTGAAATGTCAATAAAGCCAGACCGTAGGTCACAATAGAAAACATAATTATGATAGGGAATCCAAGCATCCAATTCGGTGTAAAAATAAATAATAATTCTTGTGAATACACCAGTAATTCAGAAATTACATTTAGAACGTTTATACCCTACAGTTCCAGCAAAATCTTAAGTAGGGCCAAGAGAAAATCTTAGTATTTAAAAACATGTGTGATATAAATTAAAAATTTTAAGGGTCAGAATTATGCAAATATTAAGTAACTCTTCGGGTAAAATTTAGTATAGCATCCCCGGATTTCGGGGATAAAATGGATATCACTGGAAAGGTGACGTTCTCCAGATCACGAAAATATATATAATGTAATACCAGCCAACTCTTCTCATAGAGTTAAAAGTTAATATTATAGAAACGCTTTCCAAAAATATTTAAAACATGTGAACTGGTCACACATAAATATCAAGAAAAATGATACTGATAAAAGTCTTATCTGATATTAACCGTGCCATTCTGTACTGTGCTACAGTCTCAAGTCTCTAAATTTGAGATTTTAAAAGTTGTGACAGTCGCAAAATCTATAACATTTCATTTTCAGAGATGTTTTCACACTTGAATCAAAAAAATATTCACGAAATTGGCACGATTCCGATCACTTTGGCGGAGGGGTAAAAAACTGAATTTCCGTATATATGGGCTATGTGCGAATAGGGGAGCTTTTCCAGGGGAGGAATATCCAAAAGTAATGCAAAAATAACCTATATTTTTAAAAATATTCAGGATTAAAAGTTGAAAAAATTGCACTAATAGCACATGGTATTTCTCGATCTTTCACTAAATTTATTCACGTTTTTCAAACTATATATATAAATATACACTCTAAACAATGAAATTAGTTCACATTTCAATTTTATTTTGTAATATTTTACCAAAATTTATTAATTTAAAAATCACTTAGTGAACTCGATCTTGCAAAGGTTAGATTGTTTACATTTATGAGGAAAACGAGCGTTGCCACATCTTAAACACCAAATATGTAGATTCTTAACGATTTTTCTTTGTTTGTTTTTTTGCGTGATTCTGTTTTCTATATTAATTACAATAAAAAATACTTTCCAACATTTTTTAAGTTATAATTGTGTTGTGAACACTTTTTCCATCTACATATGTATATGTATAATATGTGATTTATATTTAATAAACACAAATAACTACAACTCTATGATAATATTATAAAAATTATATCATATCGGGATATATTAAGTTTTTGTTATAAAGTGGTTAAAGTGGGTATATTTGTTGGTTACCATGCACTCATATTGAAACAAACTTTAAGTTTTCGTTATAAAATGTATACAATTTAGTTATTATATCTGTCAGCGAATTCCATTTATTTTTGATTGTACATTGTTTTGTATTTTAGGTGAAGATACATCAATTTTTATATTTAAAATTTGAGTTTTGGATATAAAGTGGTTATATTTGTTGGTTACCTTGCACTCATATTGAACGAAAATTTGAATTTTCGTACTGTACTAATATACTTTACACTTTATTACTAATATTATTATATAATATTACTTATTTGCTTAATAAAATTAAAAAAGAAAATATATAAAAAAAAGTAATTAATTTAAAAAATGTGAATAAAGTGTGTTTAATGTGGTGAAATAGCGTCTTGAAATGTACGAATTTTGCGAGTATTTTTTAATCAGGAGGACTTCCTCTTTAAAACGGTACCAAAGAAATCGGAATTGTGCCACGAAATTTATGTAAAATTTATTTATTTTTAACCTTTTCGTGTTTGAGTTTCTCAAAAAATATAAAAACGATTAATATCTATGATCATCTCTATTCAATATATTTCAATTGGCAAACAAAAGTTCTTTTTAATTTTGTGACTTGCTCAGGTCTCAAATTTAATCAATATTTTGAGACTAACGCTAGAGACTGTTAAGTCTAGGAACAAGTCACAAATTTGGACTTTACTCAAAATTTCTCAAATAGAGACTGGTTACAGATTCCCGCTGTAAGTCTCTAATTTGATTGGCATTAATAATTGCCCGTGGAGACATTACATTGCGAATGAAAATTTAAAGCAGCTGTCAAGAGCATTGTCAGTATATTCGACAATTTCTTGCAATAGGAAAGTAATTGAACTGCAAGATACTAAAAAAGTTATTGGAAAAAGCAATATTTGTTCTGCATAAGGATTAACAATATGACTGAATTACTTATCGATCCAAATATACGAGTATGGGTTTTTCTTCCCATCGTGCTCATAACATTTTTTGTCGGCGTTATTCGACATTACGTCTCTGTTCTAATATCCACCCAGAAGAAAGCTGAAATCACACAAATTCAAGATAGGTAAGTCATGTGTAATGACAATGCCATTTTGTAAAACTCATTAATTTTTTCAACAGCCAAGCAATGATTCGAGCTCGTCTTTTACGTGAAAATGGTAAATATCTTACACCACATTCATTTGCTATGCGAAAGAATTTTTTTAATCACGAAGAAACTGGCTATTTCAAAACACAAAAACGGGCACCTGTAGCTCAAAACTCAACTGCTATGTTAACAGACATGGTGAAAGGAAACTTTATCAATGTTCTGCCAATGGTTATAATCGGTGGCTGGATTAATTGGATGTTTTCAGGTTTCGTGACCACAAAAGTGCCTTTTCCATTAACCCTGCGGTTTAAACCTATGTTGCAACGTGGTGTGGAACTTGCTTCCCTAGATGCTGCTTGGGTATCGTCAGCTTCATGGTATTTCTTAAATGTCTTCGGTCTTCGATCTATTTATACACTAGTACTTGGCGAAAATAATCAAGCAGATCAAACGCAAGCGCAAGCAGATGCAATGACTGGTGCAGCAATGACAATGCCTCAAGATCCCAAAGCAGCTTTTAAAGCTGAATGGGAAGCTTTAGAGATTACCGAATATCATAGTGCGTTGAAAAATGCGGAAAGGGATATGTTACATCATGCGTTTGGAAGTGAAGTATCAATTGAGAATAGCATTCGACAGTAGCAACTTTGATGATAACAAAATTTGGGATTTGTGTTTAATTTATGTCTGTGGTAGTCGCTTAAAAAATGGTGACTACCAGCATTTAAATTTAGATAAATTTCGTAAAGCGAATAAATCGGTTTTATTAAACCAAATATTAACTATATAAAATAAAATTGTGTTTACTATAATTTTGGTTATGGATATATGCGTATACTATTATAATAAAAAGCAAACATTAGAAAACTTCTATTTAGACTTCAGTTAGCGAATTTGACCAAATTATACTTTTAATAATATTTTTCAATATCCATTTCAGTAGGTACTTCTGAAGGTTCAGCGACTGAAGGCTCGCCAGTAGGAGAACCGAGTCGTTCAGTTGTAGCCGCTGATTTCACCGGGGATGGAGGGCGTGCTGCGGGAATTGTGTAATCACGTTGCTTCTTCTTTTCAGCAGGTTTCGAAACCAAACGAAACTCATTCGGTAGATCTTCTTCCGAGTATAAGCGATCAGTAAAATATATGCGCCTTATGCGTACATTGGCATGTATTTGTAGACGAACGGTTTCCATGTAGTTGGTGCCATATGCACGGCGTGTGAAGTCCGCTAAGTTGAAATGAATTTGATTCCAACCCGGAGACATACCCATTGGCATAGCCGTGCAAAAGGGCTTTACAGATGTTTTACTTTGAAAATTCGAAACCCGAAAACGACGCATAAACCGTTGATCATCTAAAATCTACAAAATTCTGTTTTATTGTAAATATTTGTACATAATTATGTTGCTCTGCTACTTACTTTAACCTCAAAAGTAAAATATTTATGTAGATTCTTTATGAGCAATACTAAAAATGATAGTTTGATACCAAAGGACATTTTGGGATCTCGGGGCCCCGTTATATATGTGGTTGATACATTTGAACCCATAATCTCCATCACAATAGATTTAACATCCTCGTCTACAACCCTTTTAACATAACCGTTTTGGATCTGAGAACAAAAATATTTATGAAAGATGTTAAATCTGAAGACAAACTTACATGCGTAGACCAAAATTGTAACGGACTGCTACCTAAGCTGTAAAACACAGAAAAACAACCTTTCTGATGTCTACTTCGAAACATTTTTATTTAATCGCTATTCTCTATAATATTTGAAATTGTTATTCTGATTTATATTGGGTATGAATTAATTTTTTTTTTTTTGTTTCGTAGTTGTGCTACAGAATTTTTAGATTCAAAGTTTTGTTTTTAAGTTAGAAATATTCAAAGTATCATATGAATTTTGTTTAAAAATGCCACTGTTCCCACAACAACCAAGTGTACGCTCACTTAACAGATTTTTTTTTTTTATTTATACGTTAAGTTCATACATGTGTACGAAGTGTAAGAATTTAATTACTAACAATTTTGAATATTAATTGTTAAAAATGAGCAGGAAGCTGCTTTATATAAAAAACTATGTTGTCTGATAATTTCAATAGGGTGCAAAATATAGTAGAGAACCGTCATACATGTGTATATCTTTCGCATTGTCTTGATGACATTTGACATCGGAATTATTGAAACTTGCTATTATTGTTATTTCACACAATAGTCACAAATTAAAAACCTATAGTTATCTATGAGCTTTTCACATTCGACGGGGTTAATGACCAACTGACATAATTAAAATAGTCCCCGACAATCGTATAGAATTATAATACCTTAGTCTTGCAAAGGTACAAACGTTTATGAAAAAATTAATTACTTAATACATATACATGAATAGTTTGTTTTTATTCCAAAATATTTTTCGTAGGTGAATAATTTATTTATTTTTAACGACGAACACCGCCTCCACTGCCTCCCCGATGATAATTTGAGCGTCCCCGGTTAAAATTGTCACCACCACCACTGCGTCCCTCATTACCTTGAAAAAAGCCACCATTATTATGTTGGGTCCAGCCGCTACCTTGAACTCGTCCGCTACCGCTAACCCAATTCTGGTTCCGACCCTACCACATAAAAACAAACATGATTTATTTAATAATCCTGATATCGACTCAATTTTAGAACTGTAAACTATATTGTAAATGAAGTTTAAAATTACTTGGTCGGTAGGTTGACGTG